TTTGATTGAGAAAAAATGTTAACAAATTGTAATTGGTTCCTTTTTTTTTTGTTATTACTGGGTATATCGGTGGAGAATCTTTCATTAAGATTAAAGTTTTCATTTGCTGACATCCTTGAAAAGCACATTCGGACTGAATGAAGTTTTAATAGTGCTCGGCAAAAAATAATGATGAAACAACATTTAATGTGGACTCATTTAAAGGGTATCCATCAGTAAGTTGTGGGTTCCACTTGATTGGTAAATGTTATATTCACTTGCGAAGCCTTTGAAAAATATTTTATTTATTTTTAATTACACAACACAAATGAATACGTTAAATAAAGTTTATTATAAGGATACTGAGTGGTTTTGTTATTGTCAAAAAATCTTGGTCAGAGTATATCAGATGTTAAAAGTATGACAATTATTTCAATTACTTGAATATTAATATTGAATATTATAATAATACTTAATGAATAATTAAATAGGTATAATATATATATAGCTATATTAATAATTTAATTTAAAAATTATATAAGATTATTAAAATATTTTACACAATCATATATTTACCTATTTGGTATGCTGAGTCGGAAAGGTTCAGATCGGATGACTATATAACGTTTTTGTTTGTTAAATTATAGAATACAAGCGTGTATACCCCGGCCTTGCCAGTGGTACGTATAAAATAAATAAGCAAAGAGATAAACCTCGTGGAAATCGGGTGAGTTTTGACCGAGTTATATATAGGATATTTAACGGTACCATTTTCACTTGAATTTTGACCAAAAATAATGTTGCCAGATTTAGATGCCAAATTGATCTAGAGGCCAAACCATGGACAAAAAGCCAAACCTTATGAAAATCGGGTGAGTTTTGACCGAGTTATGGGCGTGGGAAATTCTGACGTATGTCCATATAAGAAGGATATTCGAGGGTACCATTTTCACTTGAATTTAGACCAAAAATAATGTTGCCAGATTTAGATGCCAGATTGATCTAGAGACCAAACCGTTATCAAAAAGCCAAACCCTTTGAAAATCGGTTGAGCTTTGACCGAGTTATGGGGGTGGGAAATTTTGACCTATGTCTATATAGGATATTTGAGGGTACCATTTTCACTTAAATTTTGACCAAAAATATTGTTGCCAGATTTAAATGCCAGATTGATCTAGAGGCCAAACCATGGTCAAAAAGCCAAACACTTTGAAAATCGGTTGAGTTTTGACCGAGTTATGGGGGTGGGAAATTTTGACCTATGTCTATATAGGATATTTGAGGGTACTATTTTCACATGAATTTCGACCAAAAATAATGCTTCTAGATTTTGATGCCAAATTAATCCAGAGGCCAAACCATGCACAAAAAGGCAAACCTTAAGCAAATCGGTTGAGTTTTGACCAGGTTACGAGGGTGGGAAATTTTGACCAATGTCTATATAGGATATTTGAGGACACCATTTCACATGAATTTTGACCAAAAATAATGTTGCCAGATTTTGATACCAAATTGATTTAGAGGCCAAACCATGGACAAATAGCCAAACCTTATGAAAATCGGGTGAGTTTTGACCGAGTTATGGGGGTGGGAAATTTTATCTATAAACGTATCAACAGCCGAGTTGATATAGCCATGTCCGTCTGTCTCTCTAGTTTGTTTTTATACGAACTAGTTTCGATTTGACATATTAATAAATGCTTTTTTTTTTATATCTACATGTGTTATTAGTTATGCCAAGAATCAGATTTCAATATCGGCTATAACAGGACAGGTAGGGTAAATTTAGAAGCCACGCCTTGTCAAATGGATATTTTTTGAGAGCCAGCCAAGTAGAGTAGAAGCTTAGTTCATATTGTCGTTCATATTCTTCAAGCTGGAGCATTATTGAGTTTTCCGATTATGGACAGATGTGAATGCGCTTGAATAATGTAAAGTGTTAATTGAATTTGTTAATGGTCGAAGTGAACAAGAAGCAAGTAAAAGCAGTTGTCGTGGAAAGTGCTCGGCTACTTTATACCCTGCAATCAGGGTTAAAGTAAATGGAATATAGAGAAACATAAGAGCCTAGACATATATCGACATACATATATGAACCCAGATTTTCAAAGCTTGGTGCGTTAAGTTTTTAATAATTAAATTTTTATTATGTTTTTTACATGATTTGTTTAACTTTTCATAAACGAAATTCTAAGGATATTGAATCGATTGCGCAGTGTCAGAAATCAAAATTAAATTTTGCAATATTTAAACAATATAACGAAATATCCAACGAAATTAAAAAATTGTTCAGGTTCGGATTAATGTTCAATTCTTTTTTAACTTATACGATTTACGTTTCGATTTATGTTAAGAAAAATGTTAAGCGGGACTTTAACCGGCTCACTTCTAAGCCACTTAAGAGCCTTTATTTGTATTTATGCCCCAATATACCCCACCTAGGCAGCGTATAGTTGCAGGGTATATAAAAAAAGGGTCCGGCTTTTGCTACGCGCCCGTTTGCCTGTTTACCATATGCAAATAAATCGGTCCTGTTCGCTATCCCTGATTCCTCGGCGTGTCCTCAACGCTGTTGTTGTTGTTGTTATTCTCGCTGTTGTTGTTGTTGTTGTTTTCGTCACATTTTCATATTACATAATTAGCGGCATTTGGGTTGCCTTCGCTTTTCTCTGCCGACTGTTCGCTCCTTATGCCTGTCGCCTTGGTCGTCTGCATGAATAAATTGCAAAATGCGTAGCATACTTTGTGCTTTGCGCTTTTTGATTTCCGTTCGCACCGACCGACCGACCGACCGCCCGGCGACCGCCCCGCCTATGCAAATTGTTGTAATTACTACAATTCGGTTGAGCATTTTTATGGTCGCTTGGCAAAAAAATGAAAATGTGGGGAAAAAAATATATGCGGAAATATTTGTGCGCTAATTGCGTGGCGCGCTCGCATTTTGAAAGCGGAGCCGCGTCGAGCTGGGCTGGTTTGGGCTGGACGGGGGGCGGGCGTGAAGGACATGACCAGAATGGGAGTGTGCTTAAGCGGCGCTCATCAAAGGCGCAGCTCTCGCCATTAGCGCCATTAATAAACACTCGTTAGCATCCGCTGCAGCAGCAGCAACAGCAGCAGCAGCGGGAGCAGCAGCACCCAAAACTCACCTCTCGAATGTGTTGCTGATAATTAGAATTAGCGCACAATTAGCACAGGCAGCGGAAAATAGAGAGCGGGGGCGGAGAGGTATACGGATCTGTATGAGTTGGCGATTTGCTCTGCTTTAAGCTTATTAGCTGCGCTCAATTTTGAATTAATAAGCAGCTTGGACTTGGCGCAAATCCTTGGCTAAAAAATGAACGCCACAATAACGCGCGCAGCGAGCGTTCATTTTTTAAGCGTTAAGCCAACAATAGCAACACCTGCGGACAAAAGCAGCTTAACAAATGCGCAGCCAGCGCAGAGGCGGAACGAAGAGAGTGGGAGAAAGGGAGAGAGAGCAGCAGCAACATCAGCACAAAGCGTAGCATCAGCGGATTGGGCGTGGCCACAACAAGAGTTATTACATTTTAGCTACTGCCGCAGCAGTTAGCTTCTCTCTCGCTGCCTGTTGGCTGCATTTTAATAAATATGCAATATAAGTAAAAAGTATAAGCAGAAATATAAGTAAAAGGAAAAAAGGAAACGCACGCCAATTCAAGCACAGACAGCGACAAAGCAACGTGTAGAAATAATAGGTGAGCAGTGCCAGGGTGCGAGGAGGTAAGGCCTTGCCAGCTGCGTTTAAGTTGCAGCCAATGCCAAAAGTGAAGGCGTTAATTACGCTGCCTCAGCGCAGCGCGCGCTTGGCAAGCGAGCGCAATAGAAAACGTGATGGCAACGCCATTATGGATAAATGACATGCGAGCGGGGCTAGCAGCGGGCGGCGGGGGCTGCTCGCAGCGCTTTCATCTTGGCAGGCAACCCAAAGGCGCAGCGTGCAGTTGCCACATTTTTAATTAGCGCGCTTAAAAGCGCATTGAGTAGGCGAAAAGAGAAAGCCATAAAGGCTGTCAGGATATTGTGTGTACGCACGTGTGTGTGCGGGTTAGTGTGGTGTATAAAGGTGTGTTTTTAACTATAAAATAACCACAACAGCTTCTGGAGTTTGAAAGACCCATTATGCGTTAAGCCGTAGTATATTGAAAAGCAACATAAGAGTCTTTAAGATAGTGCATAAAGCGAAATAAGAGAAAAAGTGTATAAATAACTGTTTGTTGGGCGTTCGACTCAAACGCCTGAACATTTTAGCAAATTACTGCAACAAATGGATATGGACAAGTTTTGATGGTAGAATAATGCATATCTTAAATGTGAGTATTACAACTTTTTGGACACGCCCACATTCTATACACATATGTATGTACATAGATTTCCGCATTACGCATAAAAAAACAAAAGAAAATTCTCGAATATTCTATGCTTCTTAAGCAACAGTCAAGGGCAAGCATGCCTTGGCAGCTACTGGGAACATACTACTGCGAGCAGTCTTCTGGGAACAGACTACTGCGATCAGACATCTGGGGACAGATTACTGGAAACAGATTATTAATCTGTTAGTTGCATCGAGCTGCACCTTTTTTTTTTAGTTTTTCCTTTATATTCTATGCTCGAACGATTGCCTTTACATAAATTCTGTCTACTATCGTTTAATTGCGCACCTCTATATTTTATCATTTATTAAGAAATTGGAACGATTAGTTCGATTTTTATTGTACAAACCAATCGTTAACCTAGTTAATTTGAGTTTCATTCTCGTTTGTTCTGTTTTTGTTTTTTTTTCATAATCATTTGTTTTGCAATTTCTAGTCCCGTTAGCTGTTGGTTGTTATTGTTGCCGTCTTGGGTCCCATGTTGATTCTATTTGGTACGAACGAAGCTGGATCGAACAAATTGATCGATTGCCAAAAACGATGATCGATAATTTAACTGTTGACTTAGTTCTGACTTGGTTCGTTCATTCAGTTCCAGTTCACTTGAAGTAGGCAGTGTAAACAAACTTTTTTAGAACATTTTTAATAAGAATTATCATACGTGACCCGATTTGGTTTGTTAAATGGAAAGTTAAACAAAAAAAGAAAATTTAATAAATGCGAAAATTAAAAAAACAATTAAAAATAAAGAAAGAAAACAAAGAAAATAGAAAAGTCTCAAGTTCGAAGGTTAGTTGTAAAAAAATTATCAGATAACACGGATCTACCAAGTATACAAAATAATAAATAAAAAAGGAATAAAGTCAAAGAACTCAATAGACCATGGAACCTTTGGGCAAAGACAATTTCGAGACGTGGAAAATACAAATGCAAGCGGTGTTAATAAAAAATTATTTGTGGAATTATGTGAATGGAATGCATGTAAGGACGGAAGCCAATGCTCTACAATGGGAATCTGAGGACGCAAGGGCCAAATCAGAAATAATACTGGCCATGTCAAGTTCGGAGTTGAAACATGTAAAGAACTGCGAAACTTCAAATGATATGTGGAAAGAGTTGCATAGTATTTACCAGTCTACATGGCCTGCTCGTAAAGCTGTTCTTCTGAAATCCTTAATTCTATTGAAAATGGAGTCCGGTGGCGATATGAGGCAACACGTGGATAAGTTTTTTGATATTGCAGACAAATTAAATGCAGTCGAACAGGTGGTAAAAGATGATTTGTTGTCGACCTTTCTGTTATATAGCATACCTGAAGAATACGAGCCATTCCGTATTGCAATCGAATTGCAAGACAATTTGGCAACGCCGGACGATCTCAGGATGAAATTATTAAATGAATATGAGGTCCGCTACAGATACAAACGTGAAACTATCGAGAAACTCCAGGAAAAGAGTTCCGATTGTTTGAAATTGGGAACCGAGACAGATGAATGTAGTTTAAAAATGCAGAATAATTTCGATGATATTGCCGACGATCAGCAGCTGAAGATGAGTAGTGACGAGGCTTCACGACCCGTACTCGGGCTCAAGCGCAGACGGGACACACATCCCGAGGATGGGCCCAGCTCCGAACCGCGCATGCCGCTGGACTTGGATGAATTGCAACGCAAATACAAAAATCTACTGCGTGAGCATGAAAATTTGCTACGGGCTCGCGATAGTAAGACCCACATGGTTTGCGGCATCAAGGCTAAGATAGAGAGCGTAATTAATAAATTACATGACGATTATGTCGCAATGGTGCTAGAGCTAATACAACAGCAGGAAAAACAGGACGAGCAGGACGAACAAGTCGAACAGGACGAGCAAGACGTTGAGATATTAAAGGATCAAATCAACTCCCTGGAACAGAATCTGCGCGCCCAGCAGGAAGAGCTGGAAAAGACGCTGGAGATTGCAGATGAGGATGACGACAAGCAGGAGCAATCCCGAAAGTTATTGATTATTCTAATAGGCTCCCTAGAGAAGAATCTGAGCGCTAAGCGCGTTGAACTGAAGGAGAAGCAACAATTGATTAAAATGAGTATAGGAGAGCCTTTGGAAAAAGGCCATGCCAAAAAAGCGCGGGTCTCCATTGCACCAAATCACAATAGTAGCCAGCGTAATTTCTTGTTAGCCAGGATGAAGGATCTCAAGAACTGTACAATGCAAGCGCTGGCATATATTTTCGAACCAATGTTATTATCGAGGCGACGAGAAATGTTGCTATTCGATGACGAAATGAGGTATGCGAATTCTCCATTTGGTAAAATGACAGGGCCCATTGGCTATATTGTTTAAATCTTGTCCGTATCGTGCGGATGCCATGCAAGTATTGCATTTATTTCTTTTTTCTTTGAAGTATCGATATGGTTCCCGTTTCGATAGCGATACCGGAACGGGAACGATATCGATACTTCGGACATATTGTACTGGGTTGCTTGTTTTCTTATCGCTTTACAATACGGTTACAATGAATACATTCAAATTCACATTCCATTGGTTGTCGATCTTACAATATCAACAAACTATGTTCGTCGAAAGGAAATTGCTGCAAATATATGAATCACCCACACATATTATAAGATAATTTGCCGTTTACTATTTACCTAATCTTTGTCAAAATATAATGTAATTAATAAAAATAACACATTAAATAAAAAACAAGTAAGAGGTTCTAGTCGGGAGCTCCCGACTAGGGGATACCCTGAACCCTCTTCTTCCGATAGTCGATAGTAAAAATAGGTAAAATGAAAAATACTATATATGTATATATATATATATACTATTATTGAAGCTACATGTCAAGTTTGGTAACTCTAGCTCATAATCTTTGCCGAAATTGCTCAAAAAACAGGATTTCGATATCGATTTTTATCGATTACATGGAAACGGGGCAAGTTATCGAATATCGGAAACAAACTCGATCTGCGCGGGGACTAGGAGGACCTACAGCTAATTTCAAGTTTCTAGCTCTTATAAGTTCTGAGATCCTTGCTTTCATACATACGGACGGACGGACAGACGGACAGACAGACGGGCATGGCTAGATCGTCTCGGCTATTGATGCTGATCAAGAATATATATACTTTATGGGGTCGGAGATGCTTCCTTCTGCCTGTTACATACATTTGCACAAATACAATATACCCTGTTATCCCATTTTTAATGAGTTAAACAATAATAATAATACGGATGCGCCCAGCTCCGAACCGCGCATGCAGCAGGAATTGGATGAATTGCGACGCAAATACAAAAATCATGAAGCCTTGACACCTGCTCACGATGTTAAGACTTACTTTATTAACAGCCCCAAGGCTAAGATGGTGAGCATAATCGACAAATTAGTTGACGATGGTGCCGCGATTGTGCAACAGGAAATACAAAAGCTTATCAAAGACGTAGATGCCAAAGACGAGCTGGACGAACAGGACGGGCAAGATTAACAGGATAAAGAAGACGTTCCACAGAAGGAGAAAAGCATTGTTAGGACAGTTGAATATTCAATAAATTTATTCCGATTAGAAAAATAGATTGTTGCGGCGAGAAAAATCGACCTCCTTTAGTCGTCTTTAGACAGTTTTTCTACTTATTGATATTTTATGGTGCTCTTTGAGCTCAATCGACACTGCTTTTGGTGAAGTCAGAACATTTTCTTTATATTTCCTCAGTATTATGCGGTCTTCCATAGTCTTTGTTATGCGCTGTCTGCCCGATCCGGCAAAATTTTTATGTGAATCATTCTTCTTTTTATGCCCCGAACCCATTACAAATGGTTAAAAGGGGTATAATGTATTTGAGCAAAAGTATTTAACAGGCAGAAGGAAACATCTCCGACCCCATAAAGTATATATATTCTTGATCAGCATCAATAGCCGAGTCGATCTAGCCATATCCGTCTGTCCGTCTGTATGAACGCAATAATCTCAGAGCCTATAAGAGCTAGACTTTTAGCTATAGGTCCTCCTAGTGCCCGCGCAGATCGATATTCGATAACTTGCCCCGTTTCCACGTAATCGATAAAAATCAATATCGAAATCCTGTTTTATGAGCAATTTTGGTAAATAATAAGAGCTAGAGTCACCACCTCCCCGCTACTACCTCATAGCTATAAATCAAGTGAAAACAGCAATTTATGCGCCCACCACTATAAGCCACAATTTAAATGCTATTGACTTTTTGAGAAGAGACAAATATTCCATAGCACATTAAGATGTACTGTAGAAAATTTTATTAAGATCCGGTTAAGAAACAAACAAAAGTTATGTGTATTAACTGCGCACGTGTTAGCAGCAGCGCAAATTCCAATAATTCATGTACGTCTACTTTGAATTCTATCGACAGCATTACAATCTTATTAAGACTCAATTATTGGTGTGGCTATTGAGTAAAGTCGGCAGCAAGTCATGCGGTCAGTAGCGAGTTCGAACTCTGCCAAGGGTACTTTTTTTTTAATTTATCTTAATTACTACTATAGCAAACGCGCCCGAGCTACATTTGGTGTTGGAATAAGAGGGTTTAGGGTATCCACTAGTCGGGAGCTCCCGACTAGAGCCTTTTCCTTGTTTTTTAATATTTTCTTCATATTCTATGCTCGAAATATATTTACGCTTGCCCAGTTGCCTATGAATAAATTCTGGCTATTATCGTTTAATTGCTTATCTCTATATATTATCAATGATTAATAAATTACGAACCATTAGTTCGATTTTTATTGAACGAACAAGTCGTTCATCAAGTTCGTTTAAGTTTCATTCTCGCTCGATCTGTTTTTTTGTTTTTTTTTTAGTTTAATTATTATTTTTTTTTTAGTTTAGTTTTTTTCCTTTATCTTCGCCTCTTGATTCCCAAGGTTATTTATTTTGATACGCGCGTTGTTTTCAACTAGAAAGACCAAAATGATCGATTGCCACAAATAATGATCGATAATCTGTCTGTTGACTTAGTTCCGACTTGGTTCGTTCATTCAGTTCCAGTTCACTTTCGGTGAGCAGTGTAAGCAAACTTTCAGAACAATTTTAATAAGTAATATTCATACGTGCCCCAAAAGAAAATTTATCAAATGTGAAATTTAGAAAAACAATTAACAAGAAAGAAAGAAAACCAAGAAAACAGAAAAGTTTCAAAGGTCCCCCATTCGGTGACGTAATTTCGAAAGTTAGTTGTAACAAAATTATCAGATAACACCAATCCACCAAGCAAACAAAATAAAAAAAGAATAAAGTCAAATAACTCAATACACAATGGAACCTTTGGGCAAAGACAATTTCGAGACGTGGAAAATACAAATGCAAGCGGTTTTAATAAAAAATGATTTGTGGAATTGTGTGAATGGAATGCATGTAAGGACGGAAGCCAATGCTCTACAATGGGAAACTGAGGACGCAAGGGCCAAATCAGAAATAATACTGGCCATGTCAAGTTCGGAGTTGAAACATGTAAAGAACTGCGAAACTTCAAATGATATGTGGAAAGAGTTGCATAGTATTTACCAGTCTACATGGCCTGCTCGTAAAGCTGTTCTTCTGAAATCCTTAATTCTATTGAAAATGGAGTCCGGTGGCGATATGAGGCAACACGTGGATAAGTTTTTTGATATTGCAGACAAATTAAATTCAGTCGAACAGGTGGTAAAAGATGATTTGTTGTCGACCTTTCTGTTATATAGCATACCTGAAGAATACGAGCCATTCCGTATTGCAATCGAATTGCAAGACAATTTGGCAACGCCAGACGATCTCAAGAAGAAATTATTAAATGAATATGAGGTCCGCTACAGATACAAACGTGAAACTATCGAAAAACTCCAGGAAAAGAGTTCCGATTGTTTGAAATTGGGAACCGAGACAGATGAATGTAGTTTAAAAATTCAGAATAATATAGATGATATTGCCGACGATCAAAGAATACTACCTGGGCGTCATCAGCAACTGAAGATGAGTAGTGAGGAGGCTCCACGACCCGTACTTGGGCTAGAGCGCAGCCAGGACACACATCCCCAGGATGCGCCCAATTCAGAACCATGCGTGCAGCATGAATTGGATGAATTGCGGTGCAAATACAAAAATCTACTGCGTGAGTATGAAACTTTGCTGCGGGCTCGCGATAATAACACCCACATGATTTGCGGCCTTAAGGCTAAGATAGAGAGCGCAATTAATAAATTACATGACGATTATGCCGCGATGGTGTTAGAGCTCATACAACAGTTGGCCAAATATGAAGATGCCGAAGACGAGCAGGACGAACAGGACAAGCAAGACGAACAGGACGAACAAGACGTTGAGATATTGAAGGATCAAATCGACAGCCTGAAACAGAATCTGTGCGCCAAGCAGAATGAGCTGGTTGAGGCGCTGGAGATTGCTGATGAATATGAAGATGATGACGAGCAGGAGCAATCCCGTAAGATATTGATTGATCTAATAGATTGTTTAGAGAAGAATCTGAGCGCCAAGCGCGATGCACTGGAGGAGAGGCAACAGTTAATGAAAATGAGTACAGAAGAGCCTCTGGTAGATGGCAACGCCGAAAAAGCGCCAGTCTCCATTGCACCAAATCACACTAATAGCAAGGGTAATTTCCTGTTAGCCAGGATGAAAGATCTCAAGAACTGTACACATCAAGCGCTGGCATATATTTTCGAACCAATGTTATTATCGAGACGACGACATGAAATGTTGCTATTCGATGATGAAATGAGGCATGGGAATTCTCTTTTTGGTAAAATGATAGGCTCAATTGTTTAACTCTTGTCCTTTTCGTGCGGATACCATGCAAGAATAGCATTTATTTCTTTTTATCGATATATCTCCCGATCCGATATCGATATCGATACTTCGGACATATTGTATTGTGGGTTGCATGTTTTCTTATCGCTTTACAGCACGCTTACGTTAATTACATTCAAATTTACATTCTATTGGTTGTCGATCTTACATCCACACATATTATAAAATCATTTACTGTTTACGAATCTTTGTTAAAATCTAATGTATTTAATAAAAATAACACATTAAAGAAAAAAGTGTTTTCTGAAGTATCTAACATAAGTAAGTATATATAGCTTAAACCGAACTTTGATAATTATGGTATATCAAATTTGACTGGGTAAATATAAGCTGCAATTTAATGGAGCATTAGCTAGTTGAAAAACATTGTGCAAATCTTTTAATATTAAAAAGCTTATGTAAAATATTTAAAGAAACTTGCAATTAAATTTGTTAAGATATTTGGCGAGGTAATATTGGTAGTAAATTCTTTTCAAATCCTAGCTTTCAGCCTATAACCACGTCCAGACATAGCTTGCTGAACTTTCGTTTTCATCCTTTTTACTTAATATAATTTAAAATTAATATTCTTAACTCCCCTATTTTTCTCCCCTCTCTCTCTCTCTCTCTCTCTCTCTCTTTCTCTATTCTTTATTTTATATTTTCTTCCACCTCTTTACATGTTCAAGTTATCTTAATTATTTAACCTTTTTTAATATTTATATTTTCTTCTTTTTCATATCTTGTATTTGTATCTTACATTATTATACTTTATTCTAGTTATTATATATTTAATCTTAGTTAGTAATGAATACCTAATTAATACCTCGTCGTATAGCCTTTCATTTTTGTTTTATTTTAATTAGTTTACAAAGTATTCAATACTTTGTTTGACAAATAAAATACAACCAAAAAGTTGGTACTTTGGTACTTAGAACAACAAATGTTGCCGAACTTGGAGAATATTTTCTGGCAGAAAATATATTATAATAATAATATAATATATTTTATATACTTTTCTTAATTATTATTTTTTACAGGGTATACAAACACTGGCGCGAACATGTCTGCTGATTTATCGCTCAGCTCAGTTATGTGGTTGCTGTGCGGAAGCAAGCGGTTAGTGGGTGGCATGTGTGTGCTGCACACTGTTGCCACAAGCTGCATGCGCCGGCTGCGTAATCCCCGCGGCGTTGACTTTTCGAAAAGCCAAACCAAATTGCTGGCAAGCCTCATCTACCTGCATGCATCTTCACATGGCAGCGTGCATGTTAACGTTTATCGCTCGCTAAAAGCCAAATGTAACATTTATGGCAATGCTTCAAAATGGCCACCAAAAGGGGAGAAGGGGGCGGGGGCTGCCAACTCAGCGCGTTGATTGCTGCGGACACCGCTTATTGCATGCTTCCGGGCGCCGGGCAAAGCCACAGCAATGAACATCTGGGGCGGCTGGGAGCTGGAGCAGCCACTTACGCATATATATATATATATATATGTATATCTGGGGCAGGTAAATCTGAGGCCATGCAAAAGCCAATTAGCTGCAGCCAGGCTGGACAAGTGGCATAGGAAAACAAAGCACTTGAATTAAGGCTCAGGAGGAATGTGCTAAGCATGTTTATTGTTTTTCACATTTCATGCACTTCAATGAGCTTCGACTTCGGCTTCAGCTTCAGATTCAGCTTTTCCACTCGATGTGTGCGCCGCGCTGATAGCCAGAAAGGGAGAGAGATAGAGAGCGAGAGAGTTTTGGGGCCAAGTCGATTTCAACTGAACTGTAGATAATCCCCTGACAACAGCAGTTAACAGGCAACGATTACTTGGCAACAAGTCAATTACGAGTCGTGGCAAGTCATGGAGAGAGTCGACTCCGGGGCGAGTCTTGTGCCTGGTTGCAGCGATAAGCGTCTAACACACTGACACACACACAACTCGGCCGGCTAACACAATAAATTCTTTGGCCTCGCCCTCGCTGCAGATTCCCCCCTTTTTAATGCGCCAACTAATTGGGCAAGGGCCATGCCATGGCGAATGCGGGTTACGGATTCCCAACCATACCTCACCATGCCTCACAATGCCGGCGACCTGCGCTCCGCCCTCTTATCGTCAGCTGGCAATCGCTTGTAATCCGCTGCTCACTCACGAGCTAGTTTCCCGCTTTTCCAAATGGACTTAACGTGTGGGTATTACAACTATGTCGTGCAGTTTGTCGGGCTGACTCTATCAGGTATGTTATAGAACCCGTCTAGACTAATCCGCTTAAGATCCTTTTTTTAAGGGCTTTTTGCCCATTTGTGCAGCTCACCATAATAATTTGAATATTCGCATATTGATCTTAATGGCCATTCAATATTTATTTATTAATTATAGATATATATATATATAGATAGATTTCTTCACACATATTCCGCCTGATGGGGTGGAAATTGGTAAACATAGGCGACACACGTATCGATTAATTTTTTTATATATACGAGTACGAATATATTCGAGTTTTTAGAAAATAATGTTCACATATGTAGATCCCTGAAAATGTGTTTGGTAGCTGAGCGAATGCAGTAGAATAGTTTCCATCTATTTTCCACTCTTGTGCGGGATTTTGCTAAAATCGTGTATTAGGATTCCTTCTATTATTTTTCAATTCTTAACGACTGCTAAAGCAATACATATTTGTTTGTAGAGCATTTGAGATACGCATATTCGCAAACATTTTCGAACTCCGGTTCAAATAACATTTTTGCGATTTTTACAACACTTTTATTGCCTGTCGAATGGCAAATGGCGATTGTCTGTGGTCTGGATCTGAGTTTTGGTCAAGATTTGGCTGGCTTTGCGATTTCAGTTATGCGGTCTCCAGAATTCAATTAAAAGACAACATAACATTGCTCTCTTGTTAGTTGAAAAACTTGGCACACACACACACGGACACTTGGACATTGAGTTGGAGCCAGGATTTGAAGTCGGACTGAACCGAGTGAGATAAGGATAAGGGTAAAACAAGGTTTCAACCCCCCCTCAAAAAAAAAAAGAAAACTTTTAAGCACGTGCTGCAAATTTGGCTGGCAAATGCTCAGCTACGAATCATTCAGGCGGCAACAACAAACAGACAGAAAAACAATGCGGCAAATGTACGGACTACTGAGCGAGAGAAAAAGAGAGGGGAGGGGGGTAGGGAGAGGTAGAGCGGAGTGGGGGGAATACAGCTCATACGCTTGGCTGCATTTGCATATTTTGTTGCGAATTGTTGCTCGACTGGCTACTAATAGGAAAATGCGACACAGACAACGAGCAGACAGAGAGCGAGAGCGAGAGCGAGAGAGGTAGGCAACAGCAGCAAGTGAGATAAATAGAGAGAGAGAGAGAGAGAGAGAGAGAGAGAGAGAGAGAGAGAGAGCGAGAGTGAGAGAGATCGAGAGATTGTGTGCGTGTTGGCACGAATTGTTTTTGCATGTCTAATACGCTTTGAACTCGCTGGCGCTGCTAGGAAATATGTATGTCAAATGCTTAATCAGCCGCACACACACACACACACACACACACATAAACTAGGCAGCCAAACAAAGCAAACGAGTGAACGAACGATGCATAAATATTTCAATAGCATACTTTTCGGCTACGTGCACTGTGAGAACAGCCAGCTACCTAAGAGGATACCCTTGTAGAGGGTACTATAATTTGGTCATGAAATGTGTAATGCATGGAGGAAGACATCTCCGATTCAACAAAGTATATACATTCTAGATCAGCATCAATAGCCGAATATAGATAAAGATATAGCCATGTCCGTTTGCCAATCCGTCCGTCTGTTTCAATGCGAACTAGTATCTCAGCTTTGAAGGTATCGTCTTTCTGTTTCAGGCATCCGTTCGGTTCGGACCACTATATCATATAGCTGCCACAGGAACGATTGGTCCTAAAGCAGTTTCTTGTATGAAATACTTAATTGTTTATCAAGATATCTTAACCAAACTCGGTATTTCAAAGTATCATTAACATTCTTAAATATTTACAATGCCTTAGCAGGATCGGACCCCTATAACATATAGCCTCGATAGGAACGATCGGTCGAAAAGTAGGTTCTTGTAAGGAAAACTTTTTTGTTTTTTTAAGATTTCCAGACCAAAGTCAGCATTTCTTAGTTTCAGAATGCTCCCTACATATTTGCTAAATCCAATAAAACTTTGGACCACTATATCATATAGCTCCATAGGAACGATCGTTCAATTTATTTAGTTTTTGTATCAGAACATATTTTTTTAAATCAATATATCCTTAGCAAACCCAGCATTTAGTATTTCAAGTATGCTGCTTATATATAAACCAAATTTAATCAATATCTCTCTACTGTATTATATAGTTCTATGGGAAGTGTCGATAAAAAAAAAAGAGTTTTTTAATGGAAATATTTTCGATTTTTCAAGATATTTTCTTCATTGCGTGCTTCAAGCTATAAGGTATTAAGGTATTAAGTCTTCGGCCTGCCGAAGATCTCCATATTTTCTCGTTTTTCTTTGTGCAACTGACGCTCTCTGCTGCATTTTATTTAACGTAAATAATTTAAGCAGTTTTGCAGACACACGCTGGCAAAAAAATGCCGTGATATTGGACTTGGAATGCAAAATCAGTTGCACACTCGATAGGCCCCCATTAGACAACGTTTGACGGCAATAAACAAGTTAGAGTAGCGTATTCGTGTTGCCATCGCGACACTCGATAGGCTCTATCCCCATCTCAAATATCCAAAACCTTGAATCAGGCCATCTCTCTTTGACTGGGACATGTTTTTTGGCCAAGCTTAATGTTTTATCCGAAACAGCTTAAACAAACAGCATGCATAATTAATCATTGATTTTGTTTTCAAATTTATTCTGAAATATGACTGCCGCACAGTAAAAAATGTTTGTTATAAATTAAGTCTTAATAGTTTTTTTTTGCAGTAAAAAATGTTTGTTTCAATTCAAGTCCAGATAGACTATTTTTCAAATTAAATTCAATTTGACAGTTAAACGCAGCATTTGAAGCTTTTTAATTGAAAATTCGTAACAAATTTAGATTAAAGTCTCGTTACCCAATAAATTATTAACAATGTGCTTAAGTTGATTTCTATTGCCTTTCCCCTGCTCTCTCTTCCAATTCTATTGCCCTAAAAAGATAACTTGCTGGCGGGCTAGAAACCCCGCGATTCGATTCCAATTAAGATCAGATAAAAGTTTTTTAGCAGCGCAGTTGTTCAA